TTATTAGGTGATTGGAAGAAAGGGAAATAAGCTGGTGGTTGACTTGCGTCGTCCTGAAGATGATGAACCAACTCAAGATGATGACAGACCTGTGTCTGTCCGTGATGCCCTTGTTTTCTTGGAAGTGGCTCGTTTCTCTTCTCCTGCCTCAAAACCTGAAGGTTGGTAAATAACCTGGTTTAAAGCGCCCTTTGATTAAGTGTCAAAAAACAAAACCAAAGTAATCACAACTACCAATTAGAAGAAACGGAAATACTTTGAGAGCCAATGAGAGCTCGAAGCAAAACCAACCAAACTGCGTAAAGCGCGGGAAGACGCGGATGGTCAAGTTGTGATTGGTTTTAGTTTTGCATCTGATTGGATGAGAGATTGGTGTACGTTTCCAGGAGCAATCACAGAGTGAAGTAAAGCTAAAACAAAGTAATGCCGAATTACTTTCGACACACAATTTAAAATTACTCTAATGAAAACAAATCAATGAGTGAACGAGTGACTTAATAAGTACAGAGGAAGAAATTAAGTTAGACTTATGTTGAGGTAGTTTTGAAGTATGGCCTTCCTGTAGTTTTAGATGTTCCGTTGAATCATTTTAGGGCTTTTCTTCCCTAAGAAGACTTACAAAGAAGCTGTTCATATCGGTGAAGGAGCATTTGTTGATGTGCTTGTAACACATGTTGCTGCCCCTGATGAAATTTATGTGCAAAAGGTTTGAAACATTGTCTCGATGAAGTGGCTTTTAATTGAGTGACAAAGTAGTCGCTTTGGGAAAAAAAGGGTGAGGTGTGGGGAGGGGGCAGGGACGGAACATAAAAGAACAGTGCAACAGTGCGTTACGTTTACGGCGAATATCTATCTTACCCCAATGACAGACCGCTGAAACACTGAATGATAAAAGAAAGATTATAACTAGCCATGTGGCCGTCGGTTTTGGTGACTTGCATTGCAAACATGCTGGGTAGAATTTTTCTCCACTGGTCATGGTGACCTAAACAGTGCCAGCTTGGAGCGTTGGTTTAAGCTTTTGAACAACTTTTCGATTTGGTGAAAACTTTCATGGGGATGACTTTGGAAGATCAATATAAAACGATTACTTGTTGACTATCAGTGTTATTTCTGAGCTGTACTCGATGCGTTTAACTACATCAAAATAAGAGGGAGTTTACTCTCGGGGTTTCGTCATAAATTTTTGTCATTATGGTATTTCTTTTGGTCCTCCATGTTGGCAGCTGCGCAGTGAAGAGACAACGGAGCTACAGCATATTATGGAGGAGATGAGCAAGATGTTTGGAGGGAGGAGGCGTGGAACCGAATGGAGTGTTCCGTGGCCTTACAAGGGTAGGTTTGTTTACGATTTACTTTACGCTCAAGCAAGTGGTGTTTAATTTCGAGAAGAGATATAAAAAGTCTCCCTTCCCTTTCCATAAAGTTCACTGTAGATTGGAAAATTTACTGGCTAAATTACCCTAAGCAAAACATTCTCAAGTTACTTTACACTACTTTCATGCTACCATTTCTTAATTAAAACTTTACCTTACTCTCATTTCCCCTAGGTATAGAAAGCAAAGACGTTATGCTACCGTAAAAAGTGGAATTGTTTCCACTTGTTTAGAGCGCTTTTCGACTGAGTGTCGTAAACTAAAACCATAGAAATTACAACGGCAAATCAGAGGAAAGGAAAAAGAGTCAATGAGAACTCGAGTAAAAACAAACCAACCGCCTAAAGCGCGGGAAAACGCGAGCGACCAAATTGTGACTGGTTTTAGTTTTGCATCTGATTGGTTTGAGAAAATGGTGCGAGTTTTCTGGACCAATCACAAAGCGAAGGAAAGCAAAAGTAATACAATCCCGGATTATTTTCGAGACTTCATTAAATTTACTATATTGAAGTTCAAGATTATAATGTTGCACTACTGCAGGTTGTAGGGAGATAGAAGAACGTTCTTAGGTAAATGTATTTGGAGTTAAACGAGTTTGTCATGGCCTACTTTCGTCCTTACGCAGGTCTTGTTTGTGCGGCGAGATTCACAGAAGACAAGGTTTGGTACAGAGCTCTCGTTACGGGTAAGGGTACTATAAAGTGTCAAGCTTATACGTAATAAGTTTGTTACTGTAGTGTACATGTGATAGTGTGTATTGCGACAAGTGATAGTGTGAATTGTGTATGTGAAGTGTACTTGCGATAAACAGCTGTTGAATGTTGTTAGCTCGTGTGCCTGGATGTGGTACATGTAACTTGAATTAGAACCAGCTTCTCCTTTCAAACATCAAGGCCGCCCTGAGCTGCGATCTAAGTGCGAGGTCTGTTACAATTTTTGCGTATCTTCTTCTTAACTCTTATTTTTACAGCCGTAAACAGCGATGAAACCGTAGACGTGACGTATGTAGACTTTGGAAACTCTGAAAAATTGACATTTTCCGAGATCAGGAAACTTCCCGACATGTTTCTGAGACTTCCAAAGCAGGTATAGGTTTGAAAAGGACGTTAAATGTATGGGTTTGAAAAGGACGTTAAATGTATGGGTTTGAAAAGGACGTTAAATGTATTTGTCATCAGTGTGGGTTAAGCTTGAGTCTGCATACGGGACTGACTTGCAAAAACTGCTGGAGATGATCTCGATTTCTGCAGCGTGGACTCCATCGCCGGCCACATAGCGGTCAAACGTGGGGCATGCGCGAGGGGATCCATTCTGGCCCGCCGCGCGCAACTTTCTCGCGTACAATTTCAAAGGAACAACCGCTTTCTCGCAAATTAAGCGAAAGAAAATTGAAGCGATCTAGACCAGAGTTCTAAACCAGACCTTTCACTTGCAATTACATCACCTCGTCCTGTTCCCTTCCCCTCCCCAACATATGTGTAGGGCAAAGAAAAATGATGTGAATCCAGTTGGCGGCTCAGACCCTCTGAAACTGGGCGACATGAAACCTTTTCCATACACATTTATCACATGCTTTATGCACACACCTCGAAATAAGTGTTGTTATGTAGCAATTTTACATCAAGTAGAAAGACAAGTAGAATGAAAAGAACGTTGATTTTTCGTCCCGAAAGGCATTACCTGTTTGTCTCGTGGATATCAAACCAAATGAAGAAGAATGGCAGGGACAGGTGTGTGGGGAAAGATCCTTGGCATTGTAGAACTTTCTTTACTTTACCATATCAATAATACGTTCATTAATAAAGCTAGGTAACGTGATTTTCTGCGTCATGTAAAAGTACCTAAAACATGTATGAAGTCCCAAAATATTAGTTTGCAAACGCTTGAACAATTTTACCAACCCAAAAGCCTGCATGCAGGCTAAAGAGGCGGTGGTAAGAGGTCTTACAGACGGTGGTAAACGGTTTTTATCGAAGCCCTGCTATTTACGTCTAGTCTTCTAAACACGCGAACCATTGGGACAACATTTGAATAGAAAGAGCCAACTCAGTTTGTAAACCGCCGCCCGTGACTTAAGTTTTCCATAGTTAGGATTCTTTTCGCATCAATATGCATTTTATTAACCCTGGAATTCCTAAGATTTGTTTCGTAAAGTGTTCTGCAAAGGCCAAACGAGTTTTATTGACATTGCGTGTGTTTTTCGAACAGGATCAACAGAATGTTTCGAGCCTGTTGCTGAATAGGTCGTTGGTGTTTGAAGTGAAAGGTAAACGTTCAAAATGGGTTTCACACCACAGATCACGATCACGATCACGATCACGATCACGACTACTTTTCGTGCGCCTCACTCTCAGAGTTCCGCGAGGCGCGCTAACATTATTTTGTTTTTTTCGCTGTTTCTTTTTTTACTTTCGTGGCGTAAAAGGAGGGATTACTCGCAGTCTATTATGTAGGCAGTGTACTTTATCGAGTCATTGTGCTGCCTTTCTTCATCTTGTGTTGAGCTACCATTATTTGCTTCTCGTATTTATGCGGGTTGTTTTATAATTTCAGGAGTTGTTGATAACAAGATGTCGGTTTTGCTGTATGACACCACGGGCGCTCAGGACGTTTGTATTAATCAGTTTCTTGTGCAGCATGGTTATTGTCAGACGGCTGGACTCGGGTAAGATCAGAACATAGCACGCTTTTTTTGACAAGATCAATTTTCAGTGAAGTGTCGAAAGTGTTCAGGGATCGCTTTAGTTTTGCTTTACTTCGCTCTGTGATTAGTAAAGAAGAATCAAGCCATTTCCTCAACCAATCAGATTCACAAGCAAAACCAGTCGCGACTTGGTCGCTCATATTTTCACGTGCTTTAGGCAGTTTGCTTGTTTTTACTTTGTGTTCTCATTGGCACAGCGCTGTGATCACAGATCATGTCTCTGCTAAATCTAATTTGTTTGTTTTTGTTTTGTTTTTATTTTTTTATTGTTTGTTTCATTTAATGTTTATCTGATTATTCTTGATGTCTTTTATACGGAATTGTTTTAGAAAGCACGCTATTGTCAGTGTTATATAGACCAAGATTTTACACATTTCGCTGTTGTGTGTATAGTTCAATTTTGTGTTTCAGTCATTTAAAGCAAAAGGAAGCAGAAAAGACAGAATATTTAGAAACAGGAAAAATGCGCGGGAGAAACAGCTTGTGTCGCATTCTTGCATGCTCATTCAAGCGTTCTTGCAGCATTGTAAAGACCCGGGATGAACTAGCCACTGAAAGTGAGAACGCAAGAGATAACAAGGAAAATGAGATCCAGTCTGAACAGAATGTAGAAGAAACAGAAACTGGGCAGGAAACTGCAAACGAACCTGACATTCAAACGGAGAAGGAGAGCCAGGCTAGTTCATTCAAGGAAGAGGAGAGGGCTGTGTCTGAAGATAGAACGGAGCCTCAAGCCAGTGAAACATCTAGCGCCTCCTGTGATTACAAGGAGTTGAAGTACAAGGCAGCAACAATACCGGAAGGAAAGAAATTCCAAGCCGGAGTCACGTTTGTGGATTCACAAGGATATGTGTATGCTCAAGAAGTAAAGGAAGGTGAGAAAATTTGTTGCGACAATATTTTGAAAAAGCTTCAACAGAAGAATTGACTTTTATCCCCATTAAGTATTAATACCACGTAATCACGCAATAAAGACAACAATCATACGTATGTGGGCCGTCGATGGGCAGCTACATATATTTTCCATTTAGGACAAATACAACTGCCAAGTGAGGGAAAAGATGGGGAATACAATAATTCACGGAGCGAGCGAACCGAACGATACGACACACGAGGTTATAATGAAATGCGATTCCTAGCTATGTACAATACATGCTCACCATTAACTTGTGTTAACTATTAATACCATTTAATCACGCAATAAAGACAACAATCGTACGTATGTGGGCCGTCGATGGGCAGCTACATATATTTTTCATTTGGAACAATTACAACTGCCCAAAGAAATGCCCAAATGGTAAGGTTTGCGGTAAATGGTAAAGTTTGCGGTAAGAGAAACAAAGGGAAAAACTAGCTGTCCACTAGGAATCTTGAGTGTTCTGGTAGTAGGGATTAGCTTATTAATAAATGATCAACGCAGTCTTTGCTATTCGCTGAGGGAACTGGTGAAGGACATTGAGCGGGGAACGAACATAAGTCTTGTAACAGGCTGATTTCCAGCGACCTAACATTTGAATTTCGTAGTCAACAAGAAGTAAAGGAAAGTGAGAAAGTTTGTTGTGACAATATTTTGGAAAAGCTTCAACAAACGAATTGACTTTTATCCCCATAAAACTCGAGTCTAAGTCTTAGGTAGAGGGTTGCATTTTGCTGCCGGAGTTTACTATCGTTTTTGTAGCGTAGAGCTGTTGTTAATTGAGAGTCAAAAGTTATCCCAGAGTGCACTGGTTTTGGTTTACTTCTTTCTGTGATTGGTCTAGAAAACACGCGTCACTCTCTCTACCAATGAGATGCAAAGCTAAAACCAATCATGACTTGGTTGCCTGCGTTTTCCTGCGCTTTAGGCAGTTTGTTTGTTTTTATTATGAGTTCCCATTGGCTTTTAAAGGCATTTTCGTTTCTTCTGACCGGTCGTTGTGATTAATTTCGTTTTTGTTTTACGACATTCAATCGAAAAGTGCTTTTAAATAAACTTGCCTATGACGTAAGTTACAAGTACCATGCTTTCAAATGGACTGTGGCGGTTTCAGGTGACCGTACTTTGATAAACATCATGGGAACCTTGCTAGAGAGATACGGCAAAAGCGAGGATCAATCAGGAGCACCTTCCGATGTAACGTCATTGTTCCCAGGCCTCCCATGCGTTGCTCAGTTCGCAGAGGATGGTATGTGGTACCGTGCATCAGTGATAAAAATATTAGAGAAGGATAAAGTAGAGGTAGGTAATAAAAGACCGCCTTGTCTTGCACTATGTAAGAAAAGTGCTTCTGTATGTATTCAAGAATGATAATGAACTTGATTGTATTTCCTCAGGTGAGCTATGTCGACTTTGGAAATTCGGAAGTTGTTTCCCTGTCTGCGATAAGGCAAGAGATGCCATTCATGGAGGTTCCTAACCAATGTCTTCAGCTGGTTTTGCGCGGAATTGAACCTGTGAGTAGTTCTCTGGTTGTCATATTGACTTTGATCAGAAGCATGTGATCTATGCAAAGCTATATGCCCTGGCTTTGATGCATAGCTACTTGAAAGAAAATAACTCCCAAATTTTTTACGAAAGTGGCCGTTAAATTGAAATATAACTGTAGAAAACCCTTAACGAAGTGTATGTAAGCTGAAATGGAAACTGTTATAAAATTTAGAGGAATTATTGTACACCCAGCCTAGCCTGCAGGGTAGGTGTCATTTTGGCGAACGAGTGCTCAGTATTTTCATGGTGAAAATTATAGCTAATTTTAAAGCAGTAGAAGGCTGGGGAGAGAAAGAAATTTGTACCAAGGGGGTGGGCGATGGTCCAAGGGGAATACAAGGAAAGGAATGGGGCGATATAAATTATATCTCGCCTTTCCCTACCCCCTACCCCACTGTCTTCTCGAAGTCGAAATCAAATATGGCCGGTCGAATAAACGATCGCGAGCTTATAAAGTTAACTCGTCCTCACTGCAGGCTACACCCAGCTGGTAGAAGTATAGCTTGTCTGATAAGTGATCTTCGCCCAGTACTCCAGAGATAATTATCAATTTACTTCATCACAACTGCTTTTTTTTTTCTTTTCCGTCTTTTACAGAAAACTAGTGACGGGCATTGGCCACCAGAAGCCATCCTGGCATTGTCTCAGGCTGTCGTGGGGCAGGACTGTATGGCTACAATCAGGGTGAGAACTGTTGTAGTAACCCTTTAACAGCCTGAGGTGATTTATATGTAACTTCTCAGGGGTGAAGGGAGGCACAGAGAGTTATGCTTCTTGTCCGAGAAACGCGAATAACTTTGTTATTTGTTAGCGTTATTTTTGTAGTTATTTACTTTTAGTCTCGTTTCTAGGGTGACAAACTGCCTGGCTACCCTCTGGTGGTAAACCTATCTCTTCCCGATGGTTCTGATGTGGCGCAGAGCCTGCTGAGCAGGGGTCTGGTTCAGAGATCTCCCACGCCAGGCGATGAAGAACAGTCGTCCCAGTTCCACCCGAGAAAGCCAGGGCCTCGGAAAGCCAAGCCTTTCATATCAAAGCGATCAGTTACTGAAACCAGGTCAGTTCGTTTGAATCAACACTTATTGAAACTTCATTCGCAAACTTGAAATTTCCATTCTTATGCAGAATGTGATTTACTACCTCTCACAAGATCACTGGTACTTTTTCACTTATGAAGATGCTTTGGGTGCAGCTGCGGGATGCTGGTTACATATCAACTTAGTTTGAGGCCAAGCTCGCAAGCGTGTTCTACGCTCAAGAGCTCACTTGGTAGAATACTTTTCAATTGATTGTCGAAATACCAAGAAACAGTGTTATCATAAGTGCCAATCAGAGCAAAGGCTAATAAGAGATCAAAGTTAAAAATAGGCGAACTGGAAGAAGCACGAGGAAAACGCGGGTGACAAGTCACGAGTGGTTTAGTTTCACATGTGATTGGTTGAGGAAGATGGCGTAAGGCGGCTAGACGAAAAATAAGAGACAGATAATACAAAACCAGTACTCGATTAAAAATTTCTTTTAAGCATCCGAGTAGAAACTTGGAACTGGCTGAACATTGAATCCTCTAAACGTTTAGTCCTCGTGACAAACGTTTGTCTGGCATATTTGTCTAAACCCATTAAGTGAGTTAACGTTTTCATGATAAACTACTTTGCGTTTTGTTTTCACCAAAGAGCGCATGCTCAAATGATCAGTTCCCGCGAGGCTGAATGTGTGTTGGTGCAGTCGGAACTCCCTGGGGATGGAATACGGTTTGACGTCACTATCACACATATAGAGAGACCTGACTGTCTGTTTATCCAGCGAGTTCCACCCACTGAGATAGACAAGGGCTACGCTGACGATCTTGACCCTACCCTGGACGTTGCAACCGAAGAGCTTCGTATGCTGGAGGAGATTATGGCTAAGATAAACAGTCCAGATTATTTTAAGAAGTACACTCCATTGGCGACCGCCAAAGAAGGTGAGATCATATCTCATTTTGGTCCGAAGCTTCGTCGCTTTTTGAAACTAATTGGAGCGTAAAGCAAAGTGAAAGGAGAAAAAAGTTGACCGTAGCATAGCTGCCTTTTTCGGTTTCCCAGATCCTCGGTCGCCAAGGAAAATGTAGAAAGAAGTTGTTCAGAGCGTATATGCTTTCTTTGATTTTCCAATCCACCTTCCTGTCGTTTCATCCATTATCTGAGTCAAAAGAAATTAGAGTCGTCCTCAATTCCCGAACAGATTTTTTGTGTTTCATCTTTTTTTACTCGTCAATGACACGGCCAAAGAAAGACTTACTGTATTAAAATATCCTCAAACCACTTACAGTCTACAGTGTCTTGTAACCTCTGAAAATTTCCTAGCTAGACAAATGTCCTTATCAAGTTATCTTAACCAGCAAAGCTTCTTGTTCGACAGTGATTGGCAAAATTACACGCCTACTCTTAGAAGAGAACCCTCCACTCTGCAGAATAAATAGAAATCCTGTTATCTCTCTCTTATAAGTTACTTGAAAGTGCCACCTTTCTCCCAAATAATGTTGCAAGAAATTAGGGACCATAAATGGGGAAATAAAAGAGAGTTAAAGAAAAGTTTAAAATGTCGTAGAACTTGCAACGCTTTGCCATTCATTGAAATTTGTTGGCATAGTGGACCAATTTTGTCTTAGTTATTCGTCTACATCTCTGAGAAAATTGCTACAGAATTGTAAAAAAAACCTCTACTGAAATAGGAGAGGAACCAAAGGGGATAGAGACTAACTAGGAAATTTCTAACTGCAGGAATGTTGTGCTGTGCACGCTACACTGAAGATGACATGTGGTACAGAGCTCAGATTCAATCAGTTGAACATCAGAGACCTCTAGAGGTCAAAGCGCTATACGTGGATTATGGTACAACTGAAGTACTTAAGGCGGACAGGTTAGAGTACTTAGTTTGTTTCATAGATTTTAAATGACCAGCAGTCGGCATTGAAAGACGGGAGCCAATTCTAACACGTGTAAATTGCATTTTAAGAGTTAGTGAGCCCGCAATTTAAGGCATGGCTGTTTCTTAGTAACGTGACTTTGGTAAGTGGCGATGAAATGACATTGGGGATGGAATTTCTCCCACCCCTCCCCTCAAAAATTTGTTCCCTCAGAAGTGCTAAAGTACACTCTTGAGTGGGCAGAGGCATGGTAGGCGGAAATATTCAAGGAGATACCCGTGTTCGAACCACGATCTCTAGATCCAGAATCCAAGGCGCTGGCCCCCCCCCCCTCCCCTCCCCCTTTCTCCAAGTGAAAACAGGTGGAAGAACCCATATCGTACATAATGTAACCGCGGAGTCAATGTCCTTTCCTATTCTTGTTCTGTTCCAGGTTGCGAGGCTTTCCATCAGAGTTACTAGATTTACCAGTCCAAGCCACACGATGTTTTCTTGCCGATATCAGGCCACCAGACACAACAGATGGACCAATGATGGATGATACCTGCTGGCCAGTGAGCTCTATGGAGACCCTCATTCAGTTGGTGGCCGGCAAGAAACTTGTCGCGAAAGTTCTAGTGAGTAGGGTAGTAGAGTCGTTTTCTGCGACCGATTAACTTTCACATGAATGAAACGACAAAGTGTTTTCTCCGTGAGCGAAAAGTGCCAAAAAGTGGAGAGTGATCTCTAATGTTTTGACCTCATTTTTATATGTTGTCGTTAGGAGATCATGAGCAATTAAAATTTGGGCCAGCTCTTTTTCAATGAATCAACCAGCGGCTAATACGTAGAGCACCCAACCACAAACTCGGAAATGGTTGTGGTTAAAATCCTAACGGATGACGACGAGTTTTCATTTTTTTAAGCTCTTGACTAAAGTTTAAGTTCCCTCGCTTTTTTTCCTCTAGTTCAATGGGCCACCGGCCAGTGTGATGTTATACGAACATACAGAGAGACATGACGGATGCGTCGAAGAAGTTTCGATAGGGTTTCTCTTGGCGCAAAGAGGTTTAGCGAAGTGTGTGGATTATGAGGTACCCGTATATGCAGAATCAGACACTCATACCGACGAAAGCTATGAATCAGAGGAGAGAACTTTGGAGTTTCAAGAATCCGAGTTAAAATTCACATCGAACGATAGATTAGAGATTAGTACTGAGACGAAAGCAGACTCTTCGTCGGCTAAATTGTTGGAAAAAATTCCCACTCCTGCACGTAACCTTCCTCCCGCAAAACAACTGTTAAAACCAGCAGAGCTAACATCGAAGGTTACGGATACAGTTTCTAGAAACTGTGAGTCGGAAGTTAAGAAAACAGAACCCAGTCTAGATGGGGTCGAAAGTTCTCAGCAAACAACAGAAGGAGTTCAATCACGTGATGAAAAAGAGACAGCATCACCGCCTTTGACGTCAGCCCCGGTGGCGAAAGTGACGTCAACAAATAAAAACACGAATTCGGCTGAAGTGAATAAAGATTCCTTGGAATCTGCTGTATGATGAGTAAAAAGAGAAAAAGAGGAAGAAATTATTGTGAATTGCTTTAAAGTATGAAGATTATGGGAAAGGACTCTTTTTGACAAAGAAATGTTTAATTTAGTTTTTGTTTTGCAGTTTTGCATCGCAGGTTTTATTATAAAGCTTACCATTGGGCGGAAAATGTTTTCTTCTGAGGATAAAATATTACGTTTGTTTGTACAGTTGCTTTGTATAGTAATCCTGTCTATAGGCATATTAAAACTTACTTATATCAACCCGTTTGAGGCTGTCCTTATATCAATTTAAAAAAAAAGTTGGCGTACCAACCAACACGAGGGTCTGTCATTATTTGATACATCAAAAGGTTTATTTGGTTTTGGTGTGCGTCTGTTGGCAATAAAAGAAGGCCAGTTGTAAATTGAACATGAGATAAACCTCGTTTTGAGAGTAAAGTGTGAGAGACGTGGGGGCCTGATAGCTAGTGTGCCGAACTCCGGGTTTAGAGGTCTGGGTTCGATACTTGGCCGGGCGTCTAGCCGGGTCCTTGTAAACCTGGGACGGATTTGTTAACGTAGGATCAGAGAGCAATTAAGTTTGTGAGGTAAATTTATCTCAGGCTACATTTGCGGTGAAAGACGGAATTTCAAAGAGCTAATTGAGAAGCAAGCTTAACATTGACTAACTTAACTATATGAGTAGACGAAAGGTTATCAGCTCGAATGACTTTGAACCACGTCAAAGCTGAGTTTGTAACACTTTAAGCAGGTAGAAGACAACCTGAGTAATAAACGGGATGTTGGGATAGCACGAGAGATGTTTGTAAATCACGAGCCAGAGGCGAGTAATTTACAAACTTTCCGAGTCCGTCTATTGCTTGACAATTCTAAGAAATTCGAATTGGGCATGAACTCTCTTAGGAACTGCCAAAAAACATCCACCTCAAAGGATGAGGTTTGTCTGTAAGTTTAGTCATAATTAGCTCTAGTTATATAATTTCTGATGCGCGTGCAAATGATAATCACGTCCACCAGCGAGAATGCCCATAGGGCGATTCCCGATTATGTAGTAGCAAGAACGCAAAATAAGGCAAACCCTTACTTAGCAATACGCAATATAGTTGGTCTGAAAGTATTCTTCTTTGTGATATAATTTAGTGAACAGTGCTCCTGGTTTAACCATGTGGTCACGGATGGGTTCATTTTTCATTAATGGCGAACAAAGGAAGCCACATTGAAAGGAAAACTCATAACTTTCTTTTAGTCCAACTCCATTCAAACAAACTTCTCTATAGAAGAAAGCCAAGAGCTTTATTTCAGATCAATTCATGAAATATTTTATAGTAATAAGGTACATTTCAAAGGGTGTTCATTTTGTGCGATTTTGACAAATCTACCAGTATCGCTATTTTTATATATTCTAAAAGTACAATATAAAAAACCTCTCCTGGGAGAGTTATTCGCTCCCAAAAAAGCATCTGCTTTAAAGGATTAATTCTTAATAAACTCTAGTTAGAAATAGTAGCATTGAAAGATTTTTAAACTTAACGAAATAAGCATTTACTTGTCTGCTCCAAACTGTTACAAATACTAAGCTATCCTGTAATTCTCTTTAAAAGTTTTTTTTCATATTTATATTTGTGCGAGAGTAAGTTAACCAGAAAAACGTTAGGGGAGTCGATACTGTGGTGCTGATGGACATGATAATTATCACTGATAGTTAAACAATTTATAATCCTATACATAATAACCGTCAGGATTGTAATTACGAAATGTAGGCTTAGATAAGGGATAGTTTGAGTGTGGCAGATACTGGACTGATGCTAGAACATTGCGATCGAATAAACCCATAGATACTTGAAGAAAATTGTGGGAATAAAGGAAGGAAACAGTTCAAATCGCGCGTGATTGTTGATATTCCCAAAACGCTTAACGTTTAATTCAGCAATGATAGTGTTGGGAAAAATTGGCTTGCTTCCTCGTGGTGTTAAACTTATTGACTCGACAGAACTGATTACAAATAGAGAGACAAGAAAATTTTCCTCTTAATGATTTCTGCTAAGATGAATCATCGCAACCTTTAGCCATTGGTCGCTTTCCGAAACATTTTATGGAGCACATTCAACGAAAGGGAAGAACCTATCATCACGTTTTCAGCATTTTAATATCCATCAAGTCTATTAATTAAAGATCTGGGAAATATGAAAATTTCCTAACCTTGTTCCTTTTTACATTTCAATTTGCTTGTACAAATATCATAATAGTCTACTGCCTTCTGCTTTCATGTCTTACTTCAAAATTGTTCAACGTTTTGATAGTTATGATACAAACTAAGCCAGAATTAACTATGGAATTGTAAATATCCGATATAAAGGACCAAAAATATGGAATACCCTTCACAAATATTATCAAGGATTCTTCTCTCTTCATTTCAAAATTGAAACTTAAACATAATTTTATACATAATTATTAAGTATAGGATTTGGAGATAATCATCCTGTTTTTTGCAATTTCTACTCAATAATACTTTGTTTGTATGCGTGTGTGTATTTATGTATAAATGCAAAATGGCACTCAGATTCTTAAACCCCGTGGTTTTTTGGGTACCAGTGCTCCTTACACGTTTAGTATGGAATCAAAAAAATATATATATACATATATATATAGCGTTGTATTAACATTTTGTGTGATGAAGTGAGTAAAGATTGTTGAAAAATCACAAATATAAGATAATGTCTCCGTTTTCGTTCAAAAGCGACACAATCAAAGAATACGAAGTCAATGGTGGTTTATGAGCATATTTACGAAGTTTCCCAAATTTCGTAAACTGCACGCCCCTTTAACTCTTCACATTCTGTTGCACGTGTGTACCATACGTTATATAATGAAGTTATTTATATTAACCCTGAGACGTTTAATTTAGACATAACCCTCAAGGGAGCTCCTAAAAAAGGCACCAGTTAATTCCAGTAATAAAAATAGCCATGGTTATTATCTAATGATACCCAGCATCTTCAATATACAGTAAGAGAGGGGGAGGGGAGCCCTATAATGACGTTTCTCATGTTGAAAAGAAAGCGTCTTTTTTTAAAGTTTCCGACTTAACAAGAGTAAAAAGGAAATGAAACATACACTCGCACAAACGTGAAGAAGTTATGTTGGAGATTATTTACCAAAATCATGCTCTAAGATCTGTTGGCTGGGGATCTGAGGTGATCTTTGGCGCACGCCTGGTAAAAACCTTGCCTGTCCGACCCCTCCCTTCCACAGATCTCTGTCCGGTCGGAGGCTCCCCCATCTTTTCTTGCTTTCGAAATTACTGGAGAGTTAATTCTAATTATTATTTCATAGAGTAATAAAAAGCGATTTGTCTGCCCTTAGTTTGGTGCGTAAAATCGAGGTGGATGATTCAGTGGATAAGATCGAATCAAAGTGAGCGCCAGGTTTCGTAATTTGAAGTTTCCTTTCTGATATTGGCTTTCTAGGCATCTTTCGACAGACCATTGGAATTAAACTAATCTGCCTTTAATTTGCAGGTAGGATTATTGGCCGGTAGTGTTTTATAATTTTCTCTTATGTTCAGATGAAAAAAAGTGCCCGAATTGATTTCATTTTTTCACGGGAATATAAAGAAATCGGACAAAAATGTTTTCCAATTTACCAAAGTTCTTTTTCCCATCAAGTACGTTTTTAATAATAAAGCTTTTGTTCTGCATTTTCGCGGCTTCTTCTAATCCGCTTCATCGGCAAAAATCTTTTCATCTTTTGTTCAAAAAGTTGTCGGTCACGTCCAATATTTATAATATATCATGCAGTTCTCGGCTGGGGGGTAGATCAATATTTGTGCTATTTACACAGACCCTACCCGTTAAACCTGGAATTTAGCACTTGATCTCGTTAATTGCAATTAATATTCATTTTCATTTTCTCTGCGAGCGCTAATTAATGGTGATAATATAGAAAACAAGCAAAGATCTTCGTGTTATACAACAAGTTTTATTTCTGTTTGTTTAAATGATTTTTCATTAAAGATAAAGTAATGTATAGATACTTATATATATATCAGCAATTTACAGCTTGTATACAATGAAAATCTTTTTCAATCGAACGATATCACGAAGCAGAGGATCTTAAATCATCAGCAATTTGTCTGTAGTTTCTGTATTTATGGCGTTATTTCTATTAGGTTTTGATTTCACATTATCACCCAAATTTTATATACAACCGGCAAAACAAGAAACGATCAAAGCCTAGTTTCGGATGAAGAAACACATCTCTTTCCTGGCAAGACACTAAGTCTTTCCAAAAACCGATACCACACTTTCTCTATAACCACTTTTTATGTACTGAAAGTTTAATTTGCGACTTCAGACCTTTTGCCGTTAAGAAGTCTAATCTACTGTCTTTCTGTGTATACTTAGGTAAAAGCAAACGATAAAGTTGTTTTTACTTCACTTCTCTTCTTCCACGGGAAAACTTTCCAGTCCTGAACATTACGACAAATCTTTTTCAATACATCTTATCTCTAAATCTTTTTCAGCATCAGTTGACTTTTGTTGTTGTTTCTCCTCTTTCTCTTTTCGAAACTCTTGCAAAAGTTCTTCTATGTCAATCCTTGGTTCCTCTTCCGGTTCATCCACCCATTCAAGGAAAAACTTATCCATCTTTTCTTTCAGTGTGGCTTTTGGGATAAAGCTAAGCTCTTGTTCACATGAAAGTGGTTTATCTGGGCCAGGTTCATTTGCCTCTGCAAGCGATGGCCGGTCCAACGATAAGCTTTCATCGTCTTCATCACTTTGTTCATTTTCAGATTTTCCTTCATCAGATTTTTCAGTGACGGGCGTTGGGTTCTTCTTGAACTTTCTCCCAAAAATGGACGATTTAGTCGGTGATGTAACATTTCTGCTAACTGCACTCCTTGGTTTTGGCTTAGTGTGCATCAGTTTAGCTGTTAAACGCTCTTTGCAAGCCATTGAATCTCTATTCGGGGGTAAAATGTGGAAGTTTGGTAGAGAATTTCTCCTTCTTCTGCTAAAGTTTGCTAATTTCATATCCATATGACTCATCATTTTGCTCTCTTTTTCACTCTCCAATTTGCTGCCTCGCTCAGGTTGAAATTTCATATTTTTTATTTTAGGCAAGTCCATGGAGTGGTCCCTTTCGTACGTCATAGTGGGGGGAAGGCTTCCTCTTCTTTGACGCAAACGAGGATGATCGATTTTAACGTCTGCTCCTGTCATAAGCGCTCCAGACGCACCTTTTTTGATGGGCGAACTGCTGGTATTTGTCTGTGCGCAAATTTTACTCAGAAGTGTATCATTCAAATTGATCTCTGCTATGGAGTGGCGACGACCGCCCCGAATCGACGGAGTTGAACACGATGGTGGTAGCATTCCCAAATCAGACATTTTTCTCCTGAAATTATTATTTCCATCTTTTTCAGTGGCCCTCATTCTACTTGGAGTGGGTCTAGATTCCTGTTGCTCAATAGCTCTTTGACGCGAGCGTTCTTGAAAAGTTTTAAAACCATTTCGGTCTATAGCATCGGGTTTCTGGAATCCCGCAAAGGTTGGCTCCACAATTTTAACCTTCTGACCTTCCTCATCTCCGTTTTTCTCGTCGCGTTTTTTGATATCGCTTCGAGTACCGAGAATTTTACGATCATCGAGTAACTGCTTACGCAGTGTCATCATCTCTTGATCAATTTTATCCAGTTGCACTCTCTTTGCGCTATTTATCCTGTTAATCTGTAGCTTGAGTTTTTTCTCTTCTTTAGCATTCGTCTGCATTATCTGCCCAATCTCGGAAGTCCATCGGGGTTCCATTTTAAAATTGAACATAGCCCGCACTTTTTGTGAGCTGATCATGGTCGGACAAACTCACTCTCTTATACAATATCTGCATGACTTTTGCTCGTCTGCAACAAGCGGTGAGGTAATGCGAGGTCATCCCATGAGGAAAGAGATAATAGAACGACAACAAAGAAGCTTCTCATGATAGCCTACTTGATGACTTTATTGTAAACAGAACAATAAAAGTTCATTTGATGTGTTGAGCTATCTTAGTCAAGAGAAGATTAATGTCAGATCACTGAATTTTAGGAGACTATTGTGATAAAGAGCGTGAATATGGTAAACGCCTTTTGACTTGACTTGGTACGTTTACCATCAAACTGGTCTAACTTTGTCGTAAGAAAAAAATTGTTGACTTCATTTGTCAAGTTTGATACGTAGGCGAGGTCTCATAAGAAAATCAGTATAGTTTGAGACAGACAATTGAAGTAATAACACATTTGAAAATCACTCTTGTGTCTTTAGTGACCATTGAAATCAAAGAGGCAATGTCACTCTAGTGTGTACTCTCAAATACGTCTAAAAGTCCGAGCCGTTCATAAGTAATTAAATGCTGTTTGAAAAAATCATTAAAACATTAGTTATAAATGTAAATTTCGCAGGTTACACGTGAAGGTAATCCTTCCAAAGCTGTAAGAGAACAAAGCTTGTTGCATAAGCCGTGTAATTATCAAATTTTCTTTGTGTCGCAAATTTGCAGCACTACACGTTCGGCACGTAACGGAATCATGGGTAGCTTTTTGAAAGTTGCAAGAACTTTCCGTTCATGCGCGACGTAATAATCTGCTTTCCTATAAAAACTGAATTGAACAATGCAAGTCAAAGAAAGACACTTCCTCTGTAATTGTTTTTTGATACCAACTGGATGTCAAATAAAACGTGTACTTGCTCGCTTTTGGTTTCACAACTTATTAATGGTAATAATAAGATCAGGTTGAGTAATATTTGTCCGTGGCGAGCCTGTGGCGAGACTCGAGAAATTAAACGATCTGCTCGTCTCTGACAAATCAAGACGATATTGTGTGCTAACCAAGTTCAGTGATTATTTTATCAATAGATCACCAGGTAAAATTGTCATTTCTTTTTCGGACGTACTCTATGACTCTATGTACTCTGGGAAGCTATCTCTAAATTATCTACCGACTTTTCAACTGAACATGCATTATCGATCATATGACCCGTCCGGCACCGCACACGCAATCTTAGAATGAAGGGCTGGACCGGTCGACTTGAGTCTGACGTGAGCCGCGCCAGTCCGTAGAAAGCTGTCTGGTTTCGCACTACGACGGCTTTGTTGCAAAGAAAAAAATTAAATATTAAATATTTCGCGTTTTTCGATGAATTGTGAGGTTTTTTGTTCTGACTAGAAAAAACAATGGAAAAGTTTTAATTGTTAGTGTTTTTAGTGTTTGTCCCGTGGGTCCGGCTATTGCGTCCTATTTGAGGTTGATGACCTCCGTGGCTCAAGGTCATGACGTACAGACCGAGCGCGCTCGGTCTCTACGTCATGACATCAGGCCAAACACTCTCCATTCCGTCCCGACCAACCTCAGCAACTAAATATATATTAGTTGCTGCAGAACAAGTTTCAATGCATTACGCATGCGCAGACCATGTATCGTTCCGGTAGTTATTTATAGTTATTGGAGGTCATTTGTTGAGTTCTTTACCGAGTGAAAATGAAGGAAACATCATCGAATTATTTTCAAGGAATGGAAAAATATTATATATTAAGAAGGTTATCGCTCTACTAAGTTGTTCGTGGGCACTCCGGACTAGGCACAGCGGAATCAGAAGAAAAGATTGCGTCGATTTCTTAGGCAACAAAATGGCGTCGAAAAGAAACATGACATGAACATCATATATTCAGACACATTAATTCACCTCTTCTAGTCTGGAATTAAGTGCAGTAGTTACTTGGCTACCTCCTCCCATACATAGGCGGCGATGCCACTATGTTACGGGAATGAGTGAGTGATGATAAGTAGCAACAGAATTCCTCTCTTGACCCAATTTTGACCCTATGTTTCCCGGTGCTTCTTATTGTCTTTTTTTCGGATTATCTTCTTAGTGCGACATTCGCGCCCGGTACACACTCAATCAACTTCGAAGAGAGGGCATTCATTATCGTTTGACGTATGCCCAAGAATGCCGCCAAATTTGGGAAACAAGCAAGGTTCGAAGTATACTAGGGTGGGAATGAATTTTGATTTTAGACATCTCCGATTTCGGACATTAGTGTCTGATTTTTTTATTCGAAACATTAGTGTCCGATTTTTTATTTCGGACACTAGTGAACACTTCTGGACTCTTTTCATCCTTATCCGAGAAGATTAGAGTGTCTTACCATTTGCAGATGTCGTAGCGAAGGCAGCACATTCCCCAGTTATTTTAAGACCCTGAGTGTTCGTGCTGTCAAGGTCTTAAACCCACGACCTCCCGCACGGCAGTCTGGCGCTCTACAACATGAGCTAACCAGGCAGCGGTTGTGTGGAATATGTGGGACGCGACAGGTTTTCTGTTTTGCATATGGAAAAAAAAGAGTCTTCTGCAGCGCTGCCTTCTAGCATCATCAGACAACCTTTAGTTCTTTTCAATGCTATAAAAATCAAAATTGTGCTACTTCAGTAGCCACATGCACTGTATACAGTCATAAACTGCTTATTTTTATTTAATAAGGCTGGGACCATATAAAGAAAATATCTAAGAAACAATTTCCTCACTGCGCGCACCCCCTTCCCCCGCCTCAATCATCCCGTTCTTTGACATGTTTGATATTTGAATTGTGGGACTCTCTGCACGGGACAGCTCTGGGACTGCGTATGTTTCGATTCCAGACCTCTCTCTAAAAAGCTATCCAAAATGGCGGCTTCACCGGCCACCGGAGTAGTGTAAGATAATTCGTTTTTGCTTGCTGTGTTCCTAAATGTCCACCCTTATCTTTTAAAGATTTGATACATAGGAATTATTTCAGTCTGAGAAACACTTTATTTTGTTCCTGGTGTTCAACAGGCGTCCGAAAACACAACGTGGAAGGCGGGCAGTCGAACAGCGTGCGCCGAAGATTGTTGAAAACACTAAAACTGCTCTGTTCTTGCGTGGTGGCAGGACAAGTGAGATTGTGACTCAAGCCATGAAAGATCTGGTGAGTCAGTGGAAGCATGGGTTCTGAGTGATCTGACGAAAGTGTTAATTAGTAAGGCTGTATGTGGTGAGCTGGATTGGGATGAAGCAAATTTTTCTAAATTTGTCACGTGGGAATGTGTATTTATCTAATATGGAAGGTCTGATCACCAACTTTCTCTGTTTTACATTTCGTTGTAAATTGCATAACTGAGTTTGGTGTCATATCAACGTAACGCACAATACTCTCGAGCTGGTATTACTTTTTCTATTCTCAAAACCTGTTGGCTAGATGATTTTTTAAACATAATTTTCCAATAGAAGCTGTATATTTGTGACTTCTAGGACTCTTAAATCCATGGTACTTTCAAATTAATTTAATGAGACGCGTCTTCGACTTTTGGACTAACTAGTTACTGCGTTGTGTGTTTTATACATGTGTCGGGAGGCTTAGAAGATCGAGGCATAAATTAGTGGCAGGGTATTCTGCAGCTTAGCCTAGACGTACTTAATTCCATTACTGATGATGAACCCTCTATTTTCTCTTTCTTTTCAGTGTTTACTGAAAAAACCCAACTCAGTCATGTTTCAAAGGTAAAATATTTCTCGATCAATCTCATTCTTATGATGTTTTGTGACTGTAAATTTCCTGTGAAATTTCACATTGTTTGGTTTGTTTGTAGTAACTTGTGTAGTATTTCCTTTGTGTTTGGGAAACCATGTAAATCACCAGGCACATGGGCCAGTCCTGGCTTATTTGTTATTTGTTTTGATTAATAATTATTGTGCAATATCAATTTCTTTCAACTTTTATTGTTTACAGGAAAAATATCATGCGACCATTTGAAGATCACACTTCACTTGTAAGTGCAATGCAGAAAGAATTTCTCTTTTGTACTTGTATTACACTTTATTTTCTGATATGTTATATACCTAGGCATTCTATATATTGGAGGGAAGATTAAGCAAAGTGAAAGAGCTCAATATTTCAGACAAAATTTTATTCATTTGCCATAAAAATCTATATTTTACATTGAAACAGGTGATTGAAAAAAATCACAACCATGAAACATTATTTTTACTCGGATATATATCTGTAAGATTATACTTAAGCCATGGGATTTGAAAATCTTATGCATAGGGTCACTCACAAATCAAAGTGATGTGGTATGGTGATTGTTAATAGTCCAAGATCCTGTAATTTTCAATCTGCACCATTCCAAGTTGAATTACAGATATTTTGTGTAGCATATTCAAGTATTGTTAATATTCATGTTTAAACAAAATATTATTTTGATTACAATAACTTTGATATAGGTATGCTTGATATGTTGTCAATAAGATCCAAGCCTCTACCTCAGCTTGGTGGCGGGTTGATAAAGGGCAAGATGTTTTCTCTTGCAAAGGTTCCTTAAGGATACTTAACTTATCTTTTAGGAATTCTTTAGTGTTAAGAATGATGCAGCCTTATTTCTCTTTGGGTCTCATTCCAAGAAGAGGCCTCACAATCTGGTCATAGGTAGGTTTCATTATTTAATCAGATTTCAAGTTACTTATCTTAACCCTTCCACTCTCAAGATCTCTTAGTAATTCTCCTTACTTTCTACCAAAGATTGATTAATTTTAATTCTGAGAATTTAGTAGTGGATCGAGTTATAATCCCCTAATTGATATTTTGCTATATTCTGCTTAGCATTGTATTAATATTTTAAGGAGAATGTATGTCTTGGTCACTACTGGGAGTAAAATGATTATGTCAACTCATTGTACTGATCTACCATAATTCAAATGTTAAAAAAATAACTACCACAAGATAAGTCCTTGATGTGTTTATTCACAATGGTTTCGATTTAACAAAGGATTTGTCACCTTTCAGGTCGCTGTTTTGATGGCCATATCTTGGACATGATTGAGTTAGGAATTGACAAGTTTGTGTCACTAAGTCAATTTAAGGTAAGATGGACATTATTTGTTGCCTACAAGATTCAGTATGCACGTTGAGTCTATCATTGAAATGCGAAAATATAAGGGAGTTATTAAAATGAACTGTTGATATCAAGCGCATGAGTCAGATACCTTATTACCCAAAACTTTCTTGTAAGGGGGCTCCAAACAAAATATCTGGGATTGTATCATGTTAACACAAGACTTCTGTTCTGAATTTAAACTTACTTTTCAGATTCAGAAGTGTTCAGTTGGTACCAAGCCTTGTTTGCTATTTTCTGGACAAGAATTTGAAAATGATGTTGTTTACAAACGCCTGAAAAGTATTCTCATAGGTTTGTTTCCCCATTTTTTCACTGAACTGCAAAGCTGATAGTGAAGCATGTTGTTTGTGAGTCAGAGGCCATATTGAATGGCCAAAATTTAGGTGACAGGCTATGCTCTCATAATTTACAAACATTGTTTATTTTAATTTTAGTTGTAACCGTATGACATTCAGATTAGTAACCCCAAGTTAAAAAGTGTTTTGTCTTCACAATTTTTTTTTGTAAGAGTAAAATATCACCCTTTGTCTTTTTAGCAGGCTAAACTTCAGTTCTTTTCCTTAACCCTTTAACTCTCAAGATCTGATTGTTAATTCTTCCCTCTAGGTGCCACAAATTTCCTTGTAAATTAATTATGAGAATTTGGTGTTAGGTCAAGGTTACAACTTCAATGTACTAAATTTGAGTATTCTCATTATCTGTTTCCTGGATAACTTATGTACACTATGGGGAGAAATTACATGTTAATCACTTTTTGGAGTTGAAGGTTCCTTTTTCTTTTCTTTTTCTTTTCTTTTTTTTTGACTTAAACGTCAAGTTATGGAATGTTCAAACATTCAGATCAAAACCTTTTGCCTGACAGAAATGAATTGGAAATGGTAATTCATTCCAATGTCAGTTACTTTGGTTATTGACTCAAGAGAAGCTGCAATAAACATGTGACACTGCAAACAGTGTATGTAGACATTTTATTCATTTGTCAGCTGCCTTTCATCTTCAGATTTCTACAGAGGACCAGTAATAGAGAAAGTCAGATTACAGGGACTTGAGCATGTGTTACAATTTACAGCAGTGGATGGGAAAATTTATCTGAGAAGCTACAGGTATAAAAAAATATTTAAACAATTACATATTTTAAGTTGTGTTTGAGATATTTAAGGATGCTTCTCTGGTGATAATATTAATAATATCTTATGAAAAAGTAATTCAAGGTGTGAGAATGGCTTTGTTGTAATGGAGACTGATTTCATCTACATCTGTAATGAAACTGACAGATATAATTTTGTTCTAGATCTGATGATCTTGGTGGACTTGTTGGATTGGTGGGATTGCTGAAATATATATTATGCAGTGACATTTTTATAGAAAATTTATTAGTATAATATTATAAAATTACCCTCTGGTTACATGCTGGCAGCCAAACAATTTTCACAGAATTTCCATCAAAAATTCTTTTTAATTTTTTGACAGTATCACATCTTGTTCAGAAATTTCAAGCAATCCTAAGAACTAAAAAAAAATTATATGCTGATGTGGTATTGTTCTTCAATATACTAATCAGTTCATAGTTTTCCGTTTTTCTATGTCAAGGTGACTTCAATAAGATGTAAATATTTTGTTTTTCAGAGTATTGCTGAAGAAATCAGGAAGTCGCACTCCACGTATTGAGGTTGAAGAGATGGGTCCTTCTCTTGATCTGGTTCTTAGAAGAACACACTTAGCATCAGATGACTTAATGAAGGCTGCAACAAAAGTACCTAAAGTAGTTAAGGTCAGTGTTACTTTTACAGTGGTAAGGTCACTCTTTTTAAGTGAGGCAATCAAAGAACATTTTTGTTTGAAATTTTTGGGAATAACTGGTTTTCTTTGTGAGCCAGACAACAGTTTTGTTAGTAATGTTTTGGTGATGGTGATTCACATGTGCACATGCACAATACTAGCAATTCATTTTTCAGGAATGTGTCTTTTTATACAATCAAGAATGAATTTCAGATTTTCAGAGTGCACTGTAAAAAATTACTGGTATATTAGTAGACATGCCAAAACTTCAGTGTTAACTGCCTTGTAGAGTAATTATTGTGGGATGCACATCAGTGTACTGGACTTTGGGTCCTGAGGTTCAGGCTCCAGACTTGGCCAGGTCAATGTGTTGTGTTCTTGTACAAAACGCTTTGCCTTTACAATGTCTCTTCACCCAGGAGTATAAATGCGGGGGTTTAAAAAAAAACTGGCAACTGTTGGAATTCCACTGGCTACTTGAAAATATGTTGCTGGTCAATCTGGTTTAAATAATTAACATTTGGCCCTTAATAAACTTTTCACAGTCACCTACTTTTGCAGAGTCTGATGTCCACTACAAAACATTTTGAAACCCCTGAAACAGGTTCTGGCAAATTGTTAGAAAAGTTTGTTTACAGTTCTGTTTTCTTTCCAGCCCAAAAAAGTTAAGAATGTCTCATATGATGCATTTGGTACCAAAGAAGGAAAAGTACACATGCAAAGGCAAGATTACTCCAAATTACAAACCAGGAAAATGAAAGGACTCAAAAGACAATTGAATACAAAAGGAAAACCACAGGATAAAATTAAAAGGAAAAAAACAGGCTGACAATGTGAATTAAATTTATTTCAACTTGACTTTACCATTATTCTCAAGGTAAACATTTTAATCACTATTTGTGGATCAATAATTATCAACAAGATTCACAGTAGGTATTGGACTCAATTAATATCAGTAAAGCCCAGTTTATATTACAAAATTCTATGTTAAACAACAGACCTCAGAAAGGCACTGGGGAATAAAATGTAGGGTTTGTGAGTTTATTCCCCAGAACCTGGCAGCAACATTTTTTGTTTTATATTGAATGGTAAAATATAAAAGTTAAGTCTTACTGTTGTCTGTAAATCATCATGTTTGTGAGTTCTTGTCTTGTTTCTGAAACCATCTATGTTCAGTAAAAAGGAGTGGAGTTGCATTTTGACAGGACATGAATACTCATTGTAGACAAAAATTATTATGGGAATGAAAAGAACTTGGATGATCTTTAGTGCACTTCCATCAAATGCTCAAATCCAACACTTGAACATAAAACTCCACAGAAGGTGCAGCAGTTTTTTGGTTTATTTTCTTCTCTGCCCCCCCCTCCCCCACCCCCTGAATGTGAAAAAGTTTTTCTATGTGCAGGTGAATCACAGAATCCTATTTTTTTTTGATAAAAGTTTCTTTGTCAGAGTCACATGTGTGAACCACATTTACTGCCATTATGAACTATTACAAGGAATGTACCCCTAAGCTTTGTTTGCATTACATTTTTCTTCAAGCCCAGCCACTTTCTTATCAATTCATGTAATCTAGGGAGGGCTACAAGTCTGTAAGTTAATGACTGTAGAGTGTTCACCCTCATTAAATAAAGTTATTTATACATTTATTGTTGATTTCTGGTGGTTACTCTTTTGATCCAAGTGCTGTGGGATACGTTCCTGGTTAAAAAACTTTCCAGTGAGTATCTTTACATGAGCTATTCTCAGCCATTCTTAAGGAAAAGGTGTAAGGGCTATAATTTAGTTCTTAAATCTGATCTATGCAGAGTTCACAAACATGATCTTCTTCCCTGTGAGCTTTAACCTTCCTGTTTTCACCAACACCAACATGAATGCTTTGGTAGCTGCTCCCAAGTTTAACAAATCTCTAAGATCCTGTTCAACCATGACAGGTTCATGTCGCACTGAAATCAAGGAAGAGAAGATTAAAGCCTGATATTTACTTTAAGACATTTATGGCCAGGGCTAAGAAACAGAGTGTGTAAAAAGGCTCTACACTGGTGTCTGTATTAGTATTCCCAACTCAAGTAAAACCAGACTGTCCTAAAAACTTTTGGAAAAGTTTCCTTGACAAAATTTCCTCAACAGTGAAGGCAAAAGGAAACAAGGCCCCTCCTCTAAAAACCATCAAGGGAGTTTTTGAAAAATGTTATTTATCAAGGACAAAGCCCTCCAGAGTGTGATTGACTCAATGACACACGCAGAGGAAAGAAACTATTCCAAAGTAATTATTTTGCCACAGAATACTTGCTATAGACACAGGGTAGTAAATCTTGAATTTTTTTCTCTTATGCAAATGGTGTTGGTAGAAAATAATATGTTTTCATTTTATGTATACCACTTAGGACTCAGCCATATTAAAAAGGAAAAAAAACATTCAATAAATTGATTATAAAGCTTCCACTAAGACCGTGCTGTGTAATTACAGTTACAAGAATTTCTAACTCATCAGGAATTGTTGCAGTCTATTGTGTATTTTTATGGATAAATGAATGTTTAATCATTTGTCTCACAAAGTAAGAGTCAGGCTAATCAATTGTGTGTTGATTGTGATGTTTTGACTGCTATACTGCTAGTCTTTGTCAGGCGACAAAGAGGAAGGTTATGTGTTGCTGGTTTGTTGTTGATGGTTTGTTGTTATTGGTGTGTTATGGTTTGTTGTCACTGCTGCATTACAATCCTTATTATAACAAATGACAAACAATTAAATGTTCTTTTACCAATTACTAAGTTAAAACATTTTTTGTAATGAGTTGAAATGGAAAATTAATGCCTCTTATGTTACCTTGATTGCCACCGGCCAAAAATCCATTTATTGTATGGAGATGCTGATTGATGCATTCTAAGGTAAACTGATTGGCTACATACACTGGTAAGGAACTGTACTCTTGTTCACTAAGAGGCTGTACAAATACAGCCAAATGGTTGCTTTGAATAGGAGCTGCTATGTCATCTGTCAAATTAAGAATGAAAATCTTATGTTGTTTGAATACCCTGACATTATCTAGAAAGGGTTTCATTAGGAAATAACCCTCTGAGCTCCCCCCAAATTGTCCTAGTTTTGCATTATGGTCTGGTTTTGCTCTTCAGTTGGTTGTTACTGGTAGGAAGAACCTCTCCACACATCCTTTAGGTTTTTCATGCAATCTTTACTCTCAGGTGAGGAGGGGAACAGAAGTGAGTGAAAAGCATAAATAATGGCTGCAAACTAAAAAAAAGTTAATTAAGGTTCTAACAGCTGTACCCAAGGCTTCCCTTACACTTCAGTTAGGTATGTGACTTCCCCTTCTATGTCTCCTTTGAATGCGCAACACAGACAGACACTAAGAAGAAAATGTTGAGTTGAGACAAGATCTGAGCAAGTTGGTGGGTAATAAGGTAACATTTTACCCTAACAATAATCATGTAAGAGCCTATATCTTACCTGGCTTCAGGAGCTGAACAGATGTAATGTCAGGGGGAGGTGGGAGACTATCCAAACTAAAGGACAATTCAAGCCCAACAACAGGAGATTCCTCTCCTGTGGGCACAATTGTCTTGAATCCTGGAGTACCCATGATGGGTGGGGCTGGTAGATCTGGATGTTCTTTTCCCTTTGACAAACCAGGTGGAGTTACCGCCACAAGGTCCGCATGCTTAAGCATTGGTGTGACTGTGATAGGCTGTGGTGGGACAAGGAAACCCTGTGGTGTTGAATTGATGCTGATTGGAGATTCTGTGGATTCAGCCAACAGTCTTGGTTTTATCATGGGTGTGTTGGTTTGTGGAGCTTCAGGTGTTGAACAGGACATCATTTCTGTATCTGTTAGTACTTTATCCTTGGTATCATGTGATCTTTGTGGAGTGACCTCAATCATTTTGGTGAAAGTCACTGGTGGTTCAGGAGTTTTAAGAATATCTTCAACATTATCTGTAAAAAGTCAATTTGGTGTATATAATTAGATAAGACACTAAGAATCACTTTTTATTTCTTACAATGGCTATCTCAGGCCAATCTGAGCAATACCATACATACATTGAAAAAAATACATTCCCTTCAAAAATGTCATTAAAGATTTTCATCTACAACAGGGAATAGAGATGAATTTAACGTCTGTTTTACTGGTTGTAGAATATAAGCAAGCTAGCTTGACTGCTTAAACCTTTGAGTGAATGGCATCTCATTTCTCCTTACAATATCACCCCTGAATCTCACATTAAGGTCATGAGAATAAAGGTAATGATCAACTTAAAAAGCTTCTGATTGTTCAAAAAATTTCCTTGTCAACACCCTTGGGAGTGTATAGAGAACACCATGGAGTTATGCATGCTGGAGTTCAAGTGTAAAGGTTAAAGTGTTTCATGTGCATTTTAGTGTTCTGAATTGAACAAAAAGAATCAGCTACTTGAGTCTTGTCAACATTTGCTACCTTTGCTACTGATCTGATCAGACTGGTTTGTTTCCATGGGAATACTCTCCTCAGTATCTGAAGTTTTCTCAAATGTCACATCATCTCCACTATCAGATT